GGTGGTGGTGTGCGCGCGCGCTGACCGGCCGCCCTGTGCAGTTTTCGAGCCTCTCGGGGCAGGTGAGCATGCTGCGCATGGCGAACGGCGTCCCTGCGGACCAGACGCGGATGTTTTGACCGCGGACCGCCCTCGGTGCGCCTCGCAGGGCGCCACGCGCACACTCGGGCGGCCTTCACCATGCGGTTCAAGATGGCGCTGCAGGGCACTGTGATGGAAGGGCCACCGTCGCTAACGCACACCGGGCGTGCATCTGTTTTCGCAGCAATCGCATCTGTGACTCAGGCAGACGTAAAGAGATCGCGCCAGTGTCGGGTCATGCCCGAGCCTGTCAGCAATCTGATCAAGTTTGTTTGATAGTTGGAGTACATCGCCGCCGGGGGCTCTGTTGCCATCGACGCCGCCATTGGACCTGAGCGCACACACAACAATCGAGGAAACAGAAATGATGGTTTTTGCGTCGGCGAAACGCCGAGCTGTAAAAGCCAGAAAGGCCTACGATTGGTACTCGTCCATAGCAACAATACGATGATGTGTCTTTACCGTGATATACACACCCCTATGCGAACCCTCCATATTATGCAAGCACAATCCGACACACGCTAATACTAGTGCGACGTACACACACCGAATGGTATACACTGCATTCCACCAAGAGTCCATGCCGAAAACAACAAGACAGCGATTCCAAGCAATACGAGAGCGGTCCCAATAAATTATATATACACACCACGCCGCCTACAGTAGGCGATTTTGCTGCGCCGGGATCTTGTTCGCCATGCGGAACATCGTCACGATCCCTGACAGGCTGGAAAACTGCCGCGCACGCCCGTCGTCAGTGTCGCACGCACCCAAACGAGGAAACACAGGACGCGAACTCACCCCGTTCCCGATGAACACCTGCGCGCGCTGCCCGATGAGCATGTCCACCGCCTGCTTCACGTACTTTTGCTCCGCGCTCACGACGAGGTCCCGGCTGCTCCGCACGCTGCGCCACTCCTTCCCCCCCGTGCTCTTCCTGAACGCGGCCTTGACCTCCTCCACCCACTCCGGGGGACCGTTCGTCATGAGATACACGTCGCGGATCTCGGGGCCGCCGCGCGCGGCCTCCTGCCAACGTGCGCGCTCGGCACGCGCGACGAGCTCGTCCGCGTTCGGGTAGCAGTGGGGGCGCACGAGCGCA